ACATAATTTATATAACATAAATTTTAGTTTGCTGAATCTGATTATTTATGTTACCAGGCTCAATTTTGAGTTCTGATACTACTAATTGGCAAAACAAAATAGATGCCAAGTCTTATAATTTCTAATATGATACACAGTTATTACCTTGTTTTCCTAACATTTAAGATTTTACATTGTGTATCCTTTTATTTTGAAAAGTATTGACATTTTAATTTGTTCCAGCTTTATCTGTTAAAATTGGTGTTATAACCTATTAATATATATAGATTATGTGACAGGGTTACATCGTGCAAGTTCAGCTTATAATTAAATTTTGTTAATCTGATATTGAGATGTTTCATTTTGTGCCTTTTAAAAAGTTTTGTTTGTTCGCTTCCCAATGAATGTTCTCTGAATATGATGTGTTTTATTCCCTGAATATTTCTAGATTGGCCATGGACCCTCTGATCAATCTTAGGAGATCAATATCAGTAGCGTACGATCTCTGTATCATATGCCAAGAGAAAAAAAGATGACCTAAGGGATGCAAACAGTCAGGGTCTACAAAGAATCGAAGAGATGACAAATTAGGAAAAAAGCTGAGGGATAGCAAAAGCCGAGATGTCATAGATAGACTGTAGAATACATTTAGTGGTGGAGAAACAGCTCATTAGTATGACACAAAAACTGCTATACACAGTATATGGACAAAGGAAAGCTCCAGAGACTACAATGCCAATTGAAAAGAGGCTAGCACTTCTCATCAAGTCAGCATCAAAGAATGACCAGCATTATCCCATAGATCTGTAAAACCTGTGGACTGGACTGTTTGTATGCTTTGTCAAACTCAATCTGTAAAGCAGAGACTAATATCAATAACAACATTTAAAATGAGCCAGCATATATTAGAGGCTGCTGTCTTTGACCACAGAATAAGTCTATGCTTAGCTGGGATGAATGATCTCATCACAACTGAAGGAAAATACCATTTAGTTTGTCACATTTGCTTTGTGAGGTCTACAACATTGACACAAAAGGAGAGTAAAGATATGGTCTTGGTTGTGGTATGGTCTCAAATGAACTGCAGTATTCTGCTAATCAAGGTTACGTGCTAGAACTATCTTCAGTTTGGGAATGTTATTGTGTTCTGGCTGAAGAAGCTAAAGTTAACATAAGGTAATAGATTGTCATTCAAGAACTGTCTTATATCCGAAACAGGAGACGTTTGATTTCATTGTTATGCATGATCAGTGTGTTTCAGACTAAAACATTACTTCTGCCTATCAAGTACAATTATGTCCCAATTTCTGAATTGGCTACTACTGGAAATGAGAAAGAGTCCCTACGTATTCCTGTATACTAACCAGAAGATAATATCTTCATGTCGTTAGTACACATAGCACTAAAACTGCGAGGAGACATAATGGCACATGCTGGACACAAAGGTTTTGATGTGAATGAGGATGATGCAGCACTCTGTATTCCAGATACATTATATATGTTTCTCATATTACTCTATGGGGGCCAGTCTGTACTAGATAACATGCCAGATGAATCAGAAGGTAATGCAACAAGAACCAAAGTTCTTAGTGTTGGCCAGGATATGGTCTATGGTGTCAGCAAAGACAAGAAATAGACTCCAAAACATGTTTGGTAGGGGAGAACATTGCACCAAGCAACCAGGTCAAAGCAACTTGTACAGCTATTCCACGATGCAGGACATACCCTGAGCTATTAATCAGTTCTGCAGATTGATACAGCTTTTGCTTTAAGTACCTTCAATACGATGAGCTGTTGTACCTCCAAACTTAATAAATGGGAAATTTGTACAGATCACTGCAGATAGCATTGATATCAATAATACCTCCCTCAGTGGAAAGAGCACATTTCATGCAACAAGGTCCTGCACCTGACTTACTGTTGAGTAACCTTAAGCCATCTAAGAATAAAAAGCTGCAAGTACCACAAATCGTGGATGAGTTAGCATCAGTAAATGGCAGATGTGACATTTGTGAAAGATATAAAGAAGGAATGGTTCTGTGAGAGCACAAATGTGGCTGATATTCAGGCTAGAGCAATGGACATGGTCTGTGTGATGAAACGACAGGCAGCAAGTACCAAACCAAGTTGGACACATTTTAATCAAGACCAGAGCACAAAAAAAGTCCAGATATGACAATTATTGGTTATATGCCAATCATTCAAGCTCCATCTCATGATGTGAACAGTTGTGCAGATGTGTTTTCATATATCATCTTCACTTGGGCAGCAATATGTTGTTTTGACTGTTGATCAAGCACTATAATGTAAATTGATGGAACTAAAATGGCCAATTCCACAACATAAGAAAATACTTATTTCATGACTTGGAGGACTTCACACATCCTTAAATTTTCTGTAGGTTATTGGCCAGCTTATGCAGGCTTCTGGATTGCCAGAAGAGTGGGTAGAAAGTGGTATACTAGGTGTTGTGTCAGCAGAAAAGGCTTTGGAAGGCAAGTCATATGCCAAAGGAATGCATGCACACAAGCTGATATTTCAAGTATTGTAAATATGGACAGAGCAAAAGCGATAGGTCATCAGATTTTAGAGCAAATGATAATGTTCTAGAAAAAAGGACCAAGCACTGACTTTGAGTACCAAACTTGCTCTCAAAGTTGGAGAAGAGAAAGTTAACGTTAATCCTCAGTGTTTGTTTTACACACTTGTTATTGCTGCAAAATGTTTCACTTGATGAAATTGTGTCACCGTTTCATTCTGGATTGTGCCCTTATCCACCTGCACTCATTACTGAATTGTACAGTCTTAGGAAAGCCAATAGGCCAGTTTTGGCAAATGACCTCCAAAAACTAACAGATCTAAAATCAATCAAGTCCACGAACCCTGTGTAGTTTGATCTTGATGACTTATGGCATATTTCCTTAGACACACAGTATATTGTAGAATACTATATGTGGCATATATGTCGATTATGTGTGATAAAAGTATAAATGATAAATGTATTTGATGGCTATGAGGATGGTTTAATGACAAAAAATCTGATCCATGGGAGATGAATGTGTAGTTCAACGGTTGTTAAATTCAAGTGAGAAATGAATATCATGATGAAAAAGGAGCAGTTTCTTGCTAATAAAGAAAGTGAACAGATTCATTTATATGATGATTGAAGAACTACAAAAGAATGATTATAAAGTACATCATAGTAGAGGTGTTGCAGATTTACTAACTGTCAAAACAGCTGTCATATTCTTGTCCAGTGATGACACAGTCCTTATTGGTGAAGCCACCAATCTCCTTGTTTTATTGTTATAACAAGCAGATCCTGGTGCCCACAGAATTTACTTCAGACCTGAACCTAAGCAAGTTGCCAAGAATCTGGGATATTAGTTCTGTCAAGGCTGTTCTTGGTCCAGATGTATGCTATAATGTCTTATTTATGCATGCAATACTAGTTTGTGACACATAGTATATTTCATAACGAAAACTTTTCAGAGATAATTTTTCTCTAAAGTAAGCAAGTGTTTTTTGGTTAAGAAAGTGTAACAACAAATCAAGTTACTGGTGCCAGTGAGAAGGCTCTAGTATGTTTATACAAAAGTAAAGAAAATGATGGTTTGAATCTGATTTATGTTTTATGATACAGTTGCATCCAAAAAATTGCATATAGATGAAAAAGCACTTTTACAACATCTCCAGTTACTGCAGGTTTATTTTCAAGTCAAACAATAGGAAGGAACACATCAAAATATTAATCCACTTGACTGGGGATGGCTTGTGTGAAATGATCAAATTGGTCCCTAAATAGACAGATATGCCGCTTGCTCCCGAATCTTTACTTACAGATATTAAATGTAAACAGACTGCTTGATTCTGAGATGTAGCTACAAGAAGCATGATGTTTTATGCTCTTCAACTTGTGGAGAATGCTTAGGTATTAGCTGTCAAAATTCAATCTAGCCTGAATGTATTGATACTGAAGATGGCTGAATGCATAAATACATAAAACATGCCAAAGAGCTGTTCCTAAAGTCAATTTTTTAAAACAAATTCAGGTTGATTCCAGCAACTTGAAAAAAAGCAATAATCAATATTTTGCAATTCTAAAATAAATACTCTCCCCTTATTAATATAACCATATGCAGCTCAAGACTGTTTCCACACACAACTTTAATGTGTCTCTTTATGTTTCACTTAACTAAAATTATTCATACTACTACATTCATATAGAATTCTCAGTTTTATATGATTTTTTAAGAAAAATAAAGATGTTCAGTTCCAAGGACTCTTGTATGATGTAGGTTAATTAACAAAAATATGTCTTCAAATTAGTCAGTGGATATATTAATAAACAATTTCCATGTTTCTGGATTTTTTAGTAAATAAAAGCTAACTTTCCCACAGAATGGGAAATTCCACTTCTAAGGGCTTTTGCATGCTATAAAATATACTTATAAATCGATAGTCCGCAACCATTCTTTCCTGTTGCATTATGTCCCGGGTAAGGCCTCCAGTTCTGCAGGTTTAATGAATTTTTTTTTATTTACATGATTATTGTAAAAACAAAAGTTAAAATGTTTACCATATTGCACTTTAATGCATTCCTAATATGCTATAAAACATACTTTATCAATTACTATAAACTTTATTTTGCTTGAATTTTACTATTAATAGTGAAGTTACAAAGAATTTCTGTTTTTTGGATTTTTTTTTGAAAAAATTCAACATTCCTCCCAGAAATGGGAATATTTCACTTCTAGGACTTTTGATATGTTAACATTCATACAGGCACATTGCACCAACTTTCAATAATACTGCAATTTGTTTAAGGTTCAAGCTATAATGAATTTCAAGTTTCTTTAATGAGGAAGTACTTAACAACAACCAAAGATCTCCACAACATTGCAACATCGTTTACAATTACATCGTGATGATTCAATCAGTGTAATATATTGTGTCGAAAAAGTGCACTAAACACAGCAACTTTTTTTTTTTTTACATTTGATGTAAGATTATGAATTTGATAACTTGTAGGATGATTTTATTCTTGCCATTATGATAAATATACAGTGTAAGAAGGATAAAGTTTGTCAAAACTCAAACAGTAAGTTTAGACTCAATACATGGGTCAAATCAATATGATTTTCAGTTAAAAAACCATGGTGGTTGACAATCATAGAAGAGAAGATCCTTATAGCAAAGAGATGATAAACAAACATTGATAGTATTCTTTAATTCAGTGAAGGAACATTCAGGCATTAATGACAATAAAAGGTGATGCTGAACAATATGCCAAAGCCTGGAGTTCTGTAATAGGACCAGTTACACAACTGAATGGTTATTATGTCAAGATATAACTAGTTCATGTGATTGCTATTACTACATTATAACTTGAAACATAATTTCTGATTAAAGTTATATGTCATAGTTAAACAGAGTAAACAATGTTGAAGTTAATTTGTGGTATTCAAGTTAAAGTTACTTCATAACTAACTGGCATGAAAATGTCACAGTCACAAGATGATTTTCCCAGTGTGTAAACTACACAGTGAAACATAGTAAAAAGTTAACCATAAGTCACTAGGAATCTAATACACTTTTAATCTTGAAGTTCACTGACACAACAGTAGGTGCTCATTCAACTGAACAGGCTACAAAACAAAAGTTAATGAGAAACTTTTGTGCTGTTAATGTTAATATTAATATATTGCAGTAGCTGGACAATTAAAACAAGCAGTTAGGATAATATAAAATAACAGTAAAGTAACATGTACTCGTATTTGGCTGAAGGTAACTATTACTAATAATGTTTCTACCATACACTACAGAGCTGTAGTTTTTCCTTACAACAGAATACTGGATATACTGTTGAGAATATTAATCTATGTTGGTAGGTTGCTTCCATCAGAGGTTACTGATACTGTATCCTCTGATGCTAATTTGGAAAATACTTAGTAAAGGATCTTTGTCACACAGTGCACATTTTTAAACATTCTTCCCAGTGTGTTCACAGATCAAGATTTATTTTCCACAGATACCACAGCTTTATGATATTTTACCCACACTGTGTATTCTCTGGTATATTTTTAGGTTACTCTTTCCTCCAAACTGTTTTCTATGTACTACACAACAGTATGGTTTCTCTCCAGTGTACACCTTCTCTTCTCATGAGTCTTTAGGTATCTACTACATATAAAATTTTTGCCACATACATTACAACTGTATGGTTTCTCCCCAGTATGTACTCTTTCATGTATTTCAAATTTGCTTTTTGTTCCAAACTGTTTTCCACATATTACACAACTGTATGGTCTATCTCCAGTGTGTATCTTCTCGTGAATCTTTATGTAACTATTACTGACAAACTGTTTTCCACACACAACACAATTGTATGGTTTCTCCCCAGTGTGCATCTTCTCATGACTCTTTAGGTATTTATTAAATAAAAACTTTTTACCACATACAACACAGCTGTATGGTTTCTCCCCAGTGTGTATCCTTTCATGTATCTTAAGTTTACATTTTGTTCCAAATTGTTTTCCACATACAACACAACTATGTGGTTTCTCCCCAGTGTGCATCTTCTCATGAACCTTTCTGTAACTATTACTGACAAATTGTTTTCCACATACAACACAACTGTATGGTTTTTCCCCAGTGTGTATCTTTTCATGACTCTTTAGGTATCTATCACATAAAAATTTTTTACCACATACATTACAACTGTATGGTTTCTCTCCAGTGTGTACCCTCTCATGTATTTCAAGATTACTTTTTGTTCCAAACTGTTTTCCACATACAACACAACTGTATGGTCTCTGCTCACAGTGTATTTTCTCATGCCTCTTTAGGTATCTATTACTGACAAAATGTTTTCCACATACAACACAACTGAATGGCTTCTCCCAAGCATGTATCTTCTCATGACTCTTTAGGTAACTTCTACTAATAAATTTCTTTCCACATACAACACAACTGTGTGGTTTCTCCATAGTGTGTATCTTTTCATGACATTTTAGGCTGCTTTTGCTGACAAATTTTTTACTACATACAATACAAGTGTGTTTTTTTTCCCCACCATGTATCCTATGATGTTCTTTCAGATGACTGTTTCTTTTAAATTGCTTACCACACACTGTACAACTGTATGGTTTTTCTCCAGAGTGTATCCTCTGATGCATATTTAGTTCACTCTTTTTTTTGAAGTTTTTCCCACACACAGTACAATTGTGTGCTTTCTCCTCAGGGTGTACACTCTGATGCATTATTAGCTCATAATTTGTTACAAAACCCTCACCACATATTACACAACTGTAAAGTTGATCAACATCTATATAGGGTATATTATATTCTTTTATATTATTTCCTTTTTTAAAAGTTTTCCCCCCCTTACTATTGTCCTGTTTCTGAGATTTGCTTGGCTTTGTTTTTGTAGATGGATCTTCTTGTTCTAAGACATTACGAGGAAACTGATTTTCACAAAAGTTGTTCTCCTTTGTCTTCGTATCTAAAAATCAAAATAAACATGCAACAAATGTAATAAATAAAAATATTTATTTAATATGACTTCATGCATAAAAAAATTAGAATATACGAATATAATTAATATGCTTGTTTTCAAAATATTAAAAATACAAGGAGCGAACAAGATTTAAGAGACCAAACACATTTTTTTCCTTTGAAATGCTTCTTTGATTTTTAATTGTCTTGTTTTAAATAAATACACACAGTTGTGATGAGAATAATCATTTTACATATACCAATATGTTGAACTATAATAAATATGAAGAGAGGAAAACTCAAATTTAATGAACTAGGCACATGACATTTCTTATATTGGTTACTCTACTGATGCTATGTTTCTTACATAGGTTATTCTAAAAACACTACTTCTTACAGAGCTTACTCAACAAACATTGCATTTATGTGGCTCCCTCTACAGATACTAGATCTATTATGTTGCTTATTCTGCAGACACTGCATTTCTGATGTAGATTCCTCTACAACCACAATATTTCTTACATTGGTTACCCTATAGGTGTTGTTTCTTACATAGATCCTCTACTGACACTACATTTCTTATGTTGATTACTCTATTGACACCACTACATTTCTTACAATTGGTTACTCTACTGACACTA